GGGGGGGGGGGGGGGAATGGTCCCAGAAGTAAAGAAAGGAAGGGAAAATAGAAAACCTACATGAAGGGAAAGTATGAGTTGTGTATGAAAAGGTATTACAAGACAATCTCCCAACAGAATGAATGGAAAGTGGAAGAAAGAAAACAGGATACAGAAGTTGCTTAGCACAAAGAGAAAAGAATTATATTACATAGTGGCACAAAAATGTGTGGAATTATGCTGAGGCAGTATGAAAAAGAATGGTTGGTGGAACATAGAAGAGAAAGAAGCTATGGATGAAGAAAAATTCATGTAAGAGAATGAGTGATGCAAAAAAATGAGGGTGAAAGATATTGTATAATATGTATATAGAGGAAAAGGAAATTGCAAAGAATGTAGTTAAAGAGCGCAAGGAAGAGTTAAGATGGCAGAGATAATACAAAGTGATTTTGATGGAAATAAGCAGCAGAGTGAACAGAACTAAGAATAAAAGTGATGAAACGACTTGGAATGAAAGTGAAGTGAGGGAATGCTGGAATGACTATTTTAGATATTTGCATTGGTATGTTGTAGAATGGAATTAAAATGAATTCTATAAATTCAAATTGAATATAAATTGAAAAATAATGAGAAGCCATAAATGCAGTGTGACTGTTGAAAAATTGTAAGGCTGCAGGCGTAGATGGTATAATTGGAGAGATGTTAAAATAATGTGATTTGTTTTACAGAGCAGAAAACTGATAAATATATTTGTGAAAACTGCATCTGGACTGATGTTTCCTCACACAGTGGGATATATTATATGGAACTGAAAACAGGGCAAAGACACAAAAATAAATTGAATGCAGTGGGAATGGGGTATTTAAGAAGTATATACACTAAACCAAGAATAGAATCAGGAAAAAAAGGAAACTGAATGAGTTTGTACATAAAAGTGGTTGACCAACATAAAAGAAACCACCGAGGTGGTTTGATTATATATAGAGAAAGAATAAGGATTAAATTGCAAAATAAATGTATGAAGGAATAATGAATGGGTTGAAAAGAAGAGAAAGATTTTAAAAAGCTAGGGTTGCATGGAGTTGATAAGATCCTCAAAAACAGACAAATGAGAAGTTTAAAGAAGAAAAGGCAGCGTATGATGCTATACAATGTAGTGTATAGTTGTGGTTGAATTAAAGCAAGGATTGTTTGTAAGCATGCAAAAATATGGGGAGGTATAGTGAATAGTGGTGGTGTAAATGAATTTAGTTAGATTTTTTCTTTTTCTTTATCTCTTTCAATTTTTTCTTTGCTTACTGCTTCACGTTCTTTTACTGCATTTTGCATAATGTTGCTTAACCCAAAAGGGAATAGCATGGTATGTATGTAAATTCATTTAATTAACACTAAATTAAACAAATTACATCTACTTAATCTGTATTTTTTAAAAATCAACTTCTGTTTCATTAAATTTTAAATTAAAGCTTCCCCTGAGATATTTTCAGTAAAGTACAGTTGGCTTTTGTATAGTATCATTCATCTGAGAGTATCACAGAACACTCTGGAGTAGATCATAAACTGTGCATGCAAATACAGGTAAATTTTAAATATTAAAGTTTCATGACAACTTCCGAGACCACAACTCAAGGCTTTTTGGGACCACATGGAGCCTCATGCACATGGACTATCCTTCTAAAGTAACCTTCTGGGTATCCCCAGGCAAATGTAATAGTACCAAACTTGATTAATGTTGCAATTTCCCCAGGAACGATGATCCTGAGTTCTTCCTCTTACTGTCATCCTTTTATGTGGACAAATAAGTCCAATGTCAATTTTCTGCTTATGGACTTCATAGGACAGCTTCCTCATTATCTTGCAGTGATCAAGCATTTCTCAAAAAGCTCTTCCCTATATCATCAGAGCACAGAGATGTTGAGATAAAAGGATCCCTCTTGCCAACCAGGGTAATGAAAGACCATTTCTTTCTACAGTGATAATTCCAAGTGTCCTACCTAGAATAAAGAAAACTGGAATTGAGCAGTAAATACATTTTGGAAATGTGCAGAGTATTACCTGTAGGTGAGTCCCCAGCACTACTTTGAGTGTCATCGTCTTCTTCCGGCTACAAACAAATACAGCCTTGCATTATTGTCATGATATGAACTTTAATTTATCAAATTATACACCCTGAATCTAGAAAAATGTGTAATTCATAGGATTGAAAAGGTCAAGCCCCCTTTTTTTTTTTTTTAAAGTAAATGCTTTGAACAAGCTGTATTTCTATAGAAGATTAGCATAAAAGAGAGGCACTTAATTCCTGAGTTCAGGAGACTTTATCGTGGTAAGACAGATTTGAAGAATCAGCAGCAGATGCTTCTGCTATTACAAAAAACCAACAAGCTTAGATGAAGAGATTCCCCCCCCCCCGCCACCTTTTATTGCAGCTTTAAAGATAAAAGCAGGTGAGGTTTTTCCCTTGAGATATTTTCACTAAAGTACAGTTGGCTTTTGTATAGCGTCATTCACCTGAGTATCACAGAACACTCTGGAGCAGATCATAAACTCTGCATGCAAATACAGGTAAACTATGTAGTTATATAATATGCTGTAACCAGACACCTTTACTTACCTACACTTAACTGCATTAGTACATCCATTCCAAAGAAGCCACATAGATAATTTATGTGGCAAGACCATGACAACCATGCATACAATGCCTAATCTGTCTTTTGAGGTTGATCACAGTTTGGAGAGAAGGCAGGGAGAAGCCCAACACCTTTAACTTAAACAAAACCATTTATATTCCATGTTCAATTGCGCCAAGCTTATTGTTTCTGCAGTACCACGTATACATTAGATACTTTTATGCCTAGTTCTCTGAAATGTTATACACTGGGATGGTTTTCCCTCGAAGGACTTTTCTCTTTCAGTGTTACATATTTTCTATTTATTCTCATCAGTGTTGCTTAACCCTAGGTGACTTTTAGCTACAGCAAAGCAGGGATGCCAGATTGGCCACACTAGTCTTTAAATGGCATGTTGAGAGATTTACTTCAAAACAGAGTGAGACAAGGACCCAAAGTGAGCATGGCCACTGACAAAGTCTGAAAGATCATGTGCAAAATAAAATTAAAGCAAAGCGAGGAGCTTTATTTACTTGAAACTCCAACAAATAAAGTATAGATTATCTAAAATGAAGCAAAATATTAAATTAGCATTGAAGTGATGATTCAATAGGGAAAGTAGGCACAGAAAGAGGAAGGAGGAGAATTATTTGATGAGAGGGAAGTTCAAAGGGCATTGTGAGCCACACCTGATACCTTGCAAGGCTGCTGAGCATCCATGAAATTAGGACTTATCGACCTGAGAACTGTTGTTCTAGTGACGTGATAGTGTGAGATATGGAAACGCAGGGCCAGAAATAAAGAGGAGGTGACAGGAAAAGAGAGAAGGGGCAATTACACAAGTTATGGAGCCAGGAATATGAGAGTCAACACTGTAATATATCTGCTTTATTTTGAACGTTAAGATTTAAATAGTGTCACTTCTATAGCACCATGCATACAAAGAGAAAGTGTTAGATTATTTCAATAATCCTGAGGTTTCAAGAAAAAAAAATCCTACACTTCCAACAGATTGCAAAGGTAACTAAACTAAGTAATAATTATAAAAATAAAGTTTCTATTTGCTTAGTGTTATAATCATCGTCAGATGCATCCACAAATGTTCCTAAATTTTATCCAGTTTGATAATAAAAACCATGTGACAGAATAAGATGACCAAATTACTGTCCATTTTTGTATACACCATCCAATATATAATTGTATTGAAAGATGACTAACTATAAAGCATTGCATTTAACTTTTTTTTAAAATGCCTGTTAATAAATTGCAAGACTAGACAAAACTACAAATTTGTCTTACGAGTGATGGAAGATGAGAAAATCCAGGATGCCCTAAAGGCAAAACATGGCTTCTGCAAATCTATGTAGAGGGAAATGTTTGTATGGAAAAATGTATTTCATTACTGAAGGGAAAGGAAAGAAGGGATTGTAGTGAGAATAACAATTTGCAATGCTTGACTCAAATACAGCCAAAAGGGTGTTAAGTAAAATAATTAGGAATCAAAGCAGCTGGCCTCATATCTTGTGCTAAGTTATAATGTGGTGGTTGCTTTTGCCTTAGGGCAAAATGTGAACCCATACAATTGTGGCTTTGTCAACAAATTGTTTTGATTAGCCCACAACATATGAAGATGTATGAATTCTGTCAATAAGTTGCCAATGCTGAAAGAAATGTGTGGGTTGCATTTTTTTTTCCACAGGCAGCTGTTACTTTTGTCTACAAAAAATTGCATGCCTAGGTTTGCATTTCCTCAAAGACTCTCATATGAACTTCCTACCTCTTAAGTTCTTAATTAGGGCCCTCTCTGGATATTTATTTACTAATATGACTAATATGGATATGTCATCTACTCTTCCTATTTTAGACAGCTTACAACATACGAGATAAATCATTAATACAATAATAAAATTCACCCATAAAACCAATAAATAATAAACAAAACAATTAAAAACTATACCAAAAAAACTGTGGTTGCCATCAAGTACATCTGAACCCTCTCTTAAAGATTGTTTTCTTGAGTTCCAAACTATCATCTGAATAGGGGCACACCTAACTTTGGGGATGAGCTGTTTCAGAGGGAGGATCTACTACAAGAAAATCTATCTCGAATCCCAGCCCAATTTCTTTCAGGGCATCCTTTCTTTATTTGATAGTGTAGGTCAGGGAGATTCTACATGAAGTAGATGGCTCTGAAGGTAACAAGCGGTCAAGCTGTAGTATACCCTTCCTTCAGTGAAAGCAGAGAGTATCCAAAATTCAGGATTTTTTCATGGCTACTTCTGTCCTCTTTCCAGTTTGCACCCAAGTTAGAAATAAAATTTTCTGTGCTAACTTATAGTAGACTAGGGAACAATACTGAAAAGTCTTCATGTTTACCTATCAACAAACATGCTAATAGGATTAACAACATTTCGATTACCTGTTGTATAAGGCCTGAATCTGATGTTAGGCTTCTAACATTAATGGATGAAATTCCCAAAGTCACTTTTTCTGTTTGGTGTTCTTCATCTAAAAGGGAAATATCCTTAAATGTTAGTCACGTTCAGACCTCTTGATCAAAATATTTCTAAAAGGTTCTGTAATTCAGAAAGATTATGGTACCAATTCAAGTAATATATCAGGGCAAGAAAGAAAGCTGTAATACAGGCATACTTTTCCATTCATAAAATTTAGCATAACCAGTGATGACTTGCCTAAAATTCTACATACCTAAGATTGCAGAAGGAACTAACCTGTGGGCACATTATCAGCCATTGGCTTCCAGAAGGTGAATGTAATGAATGAAAGCCCTGTGTATGCACAGAGTAAGTGAGGAATTGCACTTTATGCAATTATGCTTTCTATTATGCTAATCTTCTCTGCCCTGAAATAAAATACCATATATCCCTCTTCCAAACCATCTGACACGTCACACTTGCCTGCTAGTTACCAACCAATTACATTAAATCATCATTTTACAAACTGGCCCCTGTAGGAGTTGCAGAAATTATTAATGATAACATTTATCTGAATGTCATGCAACATTTCACTGGCTCATTCCTGAATATCCAGTTATCATTAACAGGTACAAGAACAAAGCCAGATCTTTTAAATTGCCTGGGTGTGTCCTGTATATAGTAGTTATTTTCACCAAATCTAGAGCAGTTTCATGTCTAAGCACAGCAGGAAGCAAACATGGTCCTTTAAAAAAAGAAGAAGAGTCCTCATTGCTGAGACAAACCTATTGCTTGTAAAGACCAATCTTCCTCAAACTTGCCCAGAGTTGGGATCTACTCCAAGAATTCTAAAAATTGTCATGTTGCCTGAGGAATTTTGGGAGGTTAAGTCCACACATCTGGAGGGTGCCCAGATTAGGGAAAGCTAATCTAGACCTTTAGTATTTAACTGTAACTTCCAGAATTCTTAGTCTGCACATCTACAGGATACCACTGGAGAAGGCTGTGCTAGACTTTCTTTTTCAGAATAATGATCTTAAGTCTACCTTCTGGTACATGTATTACATTCCAGGCAATTCAATAAACAGAAGTTATAAAGACAATTGTTACAAAAATAAAACATTTAAAGATACTTAAGTACAGAATACTTCTTTACCAGAATAAAAATTCATATCTTTATTTGCCTTCCAGGCACAATGGGAATTTCTTCAAAATAATTAACTCCCTTTAAGCGATTTCTCTCTTGCTGTTTTTTATGACTTATTAGTTGTTTATGATTGATTTTGGATACGATCCATATTTTTAGAGTAAGATGACTTGAATTAGCAAGGAACAGATCTAAAACATTATGACTAAATTCTGCCCTGTGTGCCTGGAGAGAAAGTAGTTCCACACTTGCATGAAGAGACTGGTGATGTTCCTTCTGCCTTTATTCCTTCACACTGTATTGACTCCTGCTTTGGTAGGGCCTCCTAGCCTCCTGAAGACACTTTGGGGATCAGGCTGAAATAAGAAAAAAGATGATCCATGCACAATTCTTTGGTTCTCACCTAATTCTTGGTTCCCAAAACAGTCTTCTGTCCTGGATTTCAGAGAAAGTACATGTTGTTGCTTATGCATTGCTTTCTTGTAAGTGTGCTTCAAGTGCTCATGTATGCATTTAAACATACAAATGCAAATTCGTGTGGAGCCCAAAATGGAATCCTCTGGAGATGGAGATGACTAGTTTGGGCAGGAAGCATGCCATCAGTGTTCCTATCTATTCCCTCAATTTCAGGAGCTGGCCATGTAATGGAAACTTAGTTCTTTAAGTAGACCCCTAGGGGTGGGAGAATTGCATGAATGTCAAATTACCACTCAAAGAACCACATTTACAAATAAGCAACATGTTCTTCATCTTTTTAGTCTCTGTGTATTACACAAATGTGTGATTAGTAAACTAGCCTCCTGTTTAACATCTACATGAAACTGCTGGGGGGAGATCATCTGTCACCATGGGGTGAGGTATCATCAATATGCTAATGATACTCAGTTGTACCTCTCTGCCCTTGGCAAACTAAGCAATGGTTTTGATGTCCTGTCCTGGTGCCTGGAGCCTGTAGGGATCTGGATGGGGAACAACAGGCTTCAACTGAATCCTGGCAAGACTGAGTGGCTTTGGGTTTTGGGGCCTTCTGAATCTGGGACTTTACCATCTTTGGTACTGGATGGGGTGACACTGCCCCAAACAGACCAGTTGTGCAATCTGGGGGTCCTTCTGGCGTTACAACTCCTGCTCGAGGAGCAGGTGGCAGTCATGGCCAGGAGAGCCTTTGTGCAACTTTGTGTGGTATGCTAGTTGCGCCCATTCCTGGATCAGGAGGCTCTTCTCACAGTTAGTCCTGCCCTGGTCATCTCCTGAATGGACTACTGTAATGTGCTCTATGTGGGGCTACCCTTGAAGAGTATCCGGAAGCTTCAGCTGGTGCAAAATGAAGAGGCATGGGAAGTTATATGTGCCCCTAGAAAGATACATGTTATATCTTTGATCCATGAGCTGCATTGGTTACTAGTTTGCTTCTGGGTACAATTCAAGGTGCTGGTTTTGACCTTTAAAGTCCTACATGGCATGGAGCCCAGCTATCTGAGGGACTGCCTCTCCCAGTTACATCTACCCATCCCATCAGATCTGGCAAGAGAGGCATGTTGCAGCTTCCATTTGCTAAAGAGTTGTAACTCATGGGACCTAGGAGATGAGCCTTTTCTGCCATGGCACCCACCCTTTGGAACATCATCCCCCCGAGGTGAGGTTAGTCCTAACCCTTATGGCCTTCCAGAAAGCCCTCAAGATGTGTTTTTTTCATCAGGCCTGGGGATCTCCTGGCAGCAGGGAGGCTGCACATTGGCTGCACCACATATAACATTCTGATTTTAACTTCTCACGATCTTGTTCTTATTTATGTTTAATTATTTAAGTGTTTTCAGTGGTTTTATAATATGTTTTAATCGTTAGTTTTATTGTACGGCATCAAGTCACCTTGTGTGAGATGGGTGGCCATATAAATTTGACAAATTAATTAATTAAAATAAAATAAACTTTCTTAGACAAGGGTAGAAATGCCCAATCATGTACTGAAGGACAAGAATACTGCTGTTCCCAAAAGAAGCACTTCTCCTGGCCCTGATGTTGACGCTGTATAAGTTATGGGTCAGCGCAGATCAAGCAGTTGTACCCATGCAAGGAATGCTGTCAAGGAAGTGGTGGACCTAGTACAGTGTCTACAGCAAATACTGCAGGCTCCTTACTCACAAGTTGATAGGAAGGTCAGATGAAAACAGACATTTGGCAAAACATTGCAGAAACACTAGGAAACTTTTCAATAGGCCCTGGCAGCATACCAAGAGACAGGAGGTATAAGGTGGCAGTACATTTTACATAAAAGCCTTATAATGTCTACTATGTAGAGGGAATATCCTAATGATGTAGACTGGTTAGGAGGAAAAATAGGCAACACCAGTGACTACTTCATATGAAAGTCTGCTGCAGTCTTGGGAAGGAGTGATATCTGCCTGAAGATATCCTTTGTAGAAGAAGACTGGAGGCTTTGCTCACAAGATACAGAATTCTGCTTATACAGTACCTACTTGCTCTCCAGGCAGAAGTAACTGTCACCATGAAAGTCTCCTATAGGGTTTGTACATGGCAATTTGAAAGATATGAATGTCAAACAAAACAAAACCAAAGAAAGTTTCCAAGTAGAAATAGATGGGTAAATGGGAGGGTAGAGGTTATATAAACTAGTGTTTTTCAAACTTGGCAACTTTAAGATGTGTGGACCTCAACTCCCAGAACTCCCCAGCCAGAATCTTGGCAACTTCATGATACTGGCTGGGGGATTTTGGGGGGTGAAATCCACACATCTTTTAGGTGGCAAGATTTTAAAAAAAAAAT